ACCATACAAAGTAGGTAGGCCTACTGTATTTTAAGACCTTTTATTTCATGTGCATATAAACCTATGCTTACATTTACAATATTCTTCTGACTCCTATAGCACCCCCCCCCCCCTGAGGAGGTAGCACATCACTAAATAATGTTTTAGAACAGGTTTTTGCGCCCAATGACTTTTTAGATTTTTTTAACTTTATTATTTCTATATTTTTGTTATTTTTATCTTTATTATTTCTTGAAATATTTAACTTTCCCAGGATTTTTGCCACCCTGTATGGATAAAAACTGCATGATGAAACCCCCTTTTTTGGATAAGATGAGCTGAAGGCATTTTTTTTCATACCGTACTGTTTGTAAATCTACATAGGTACACAAGATTCACCATTGTACTATATGTTTTGATGTATTTACAACTTTTATTTCTTATCATCATAACTCCTTTAAACATTTAGGACTTTACTAACTAACTGTTGTTTGGTATAAGAAATAAAAGACTCAAGAGATCAATTGGTAAAATTTGCTAAACAATTTGAGAAAAACATGTAATGACCTCAGCACATTCGAACCTACCACTGATCCCCAAAGTTGCACTATGTATCCGAATAGGTGTGAGTATCATTTTATACAGAAACAGTTTATTTTCCAGACTGAGTTTGGATCAGGGCATAAAATAACATGTTAACTGGGCGACAAAAGTGTCGCCCGCCCAGTGCTGAAATTTTGTCGCCCAGTGACTATGGGTGGTGCCGGCATATTTTTTTTAATGATTCACATTTTAAATGTATAGGAATTTAAAATAACATTATGTAAATATTTTAGAGTATTGAGCTATGATTTTGGCCGAAGAGACTATTTACAAGCTAGTATAGCCTAATCTAAAAATTCACTAAAAGATACGAAGAAATGTGTGATTTTCACTTAAATTTATGCAAACATTTCCGGGGGGGGGGGGGGCTCGGACCCCCCATTTTGATGGGGGTATGTATACCCCTCAGGCCCCCCCGGTAAGTCTGGCGCCACTGTCGCCCAGTGAAAATCCCTTAAAATATGCTCTGGTTTGGATTTTTGTTCAATAAGCCAATTTAACTGGTTAGATTTTAAATTTAGCTGTTGTTATTTTCTATAAATAGGCATGTGCTTTCTATAGTTTTGTATCTAAATGGATACCCAAGGATTTAACCTCCGTTACTTCAGGAAGCTGGCTGTTGTTAATTGTGAGTGGAGGACAAGATTTATATTGAAAGGTAAACAGATTTAGTTAAGTTAATTTTGAATCTCTTCTTTAAACCAATCGGTAAATACTAGCATTGACTTTATATCTATCTACAAATAAAGGTGTAGATATAAAGTCAATGATACTAGTATACCTGTTGCTCAAAATCGAGCAATTTTCAAGTACTGATATTATACCAAAGTTATTTAAGTTATAAACCAACAACAGTCACAATTTTCTATGAATGCTCCAAATCGAGCAATGATTGTCAAGTACTGGTATTATACATGAGTTTATTTTCAACCTAATAAAAGTCATAAATTTCAAAGGGTTAAAAAGACTCAAATAAAAGCTTATGTAACTAATGGAAATAGAACTACTCACGCTGTTAAACCTTGGATATAATAAACACTTATTGTAAGTATTTGATCATTTTTCAGAAGCTGGCCTTTTTGTGTTTTAGCTGTTACCAGTTAACATTTCTCGCATCACGTATTCATTCACTTTGTCTGACATTAGGCAAGTTTACTTTACCACCATGACAAAACGATTTTTTCTCTTATTAATTGTCTCCTGCTCCTTTTTTTTAATATTTCTTCTTTGAACTCAAGGCATTTTCTGTCCTTCCTGATTTAACTATTTACATTGTTTTATAACCTGAATATTACTAACATCAATATTTACTCCCAAAAAGCTGCTGAGTTTATTTTTATAAACTAAACATCTGTTTTGTGTATTTCTTATGAGGAAAAATCTACCTTTCAGAGTGCCTGGCGCCCTTAATGGCAGGAATTTTTTAATTTGAAATCCTTATTGCAAAACTACAAATTGAGACAAATTATCTGACACCTCGAAATTGGTCTACAAATAAGGGATGAGCTGTGGTCACAAAAAACGGCTTCACGTAATATGGATATACAGATCGGATATTCGTCAGAAATTTATATTCTGGTTTGTCGTAAATACTGTATAAAGAAGCTTGAACCATAGACTAACCAACACAAGTAGACTTCCCATCCCATTGTAAATTTTAAAGCTAGTTTTTTGTGTCTATTCCATGTCCGGTGACACTGGTGGCTGGTGTCGACAAAATTTTATTTAAATTATTTTAGAGTTCATTTCATGATTTGTGCTTTACTGTTTAGTTATATAACAAGGAGGATGAGGTATTGTTTATGATTGTATCGTTTTATTTGGTTAAACGAGGTTTTAAATTACTGAAATAACAAGAAACAAAATAATGTAAACAAAACCTACAGTGCACAGGACAGAACTAATGATAAAATTGGCTTCAACTGTTCCATAAGGATTAGAAATATACTAAGGGAGTATTTTTTATCATTCTATGCTTTAACTGAATAATGGCGAATAGAGAAAATTGCACTACAGTATCAGCAAATGTAGAAATTTATTTGGACTCATTTTCTGGGTTGTCGAAAAAACAAATGTTATAAGGGCCCGAGGACACTTCCTTGAGGAGTCCAAGATTCAATTGGATAGTAAGATAAGAATCTTCACGTGTAGGCTTTCGCGGCCGGTGTCATTGAAATCCATGGTGATGGTTTCGTCGTCAACCGCTTCGATATACAACTGACGACGCGGTTGACGCCTAAAACCATCACCATGGATTTCAGTAAGATAAGAACATCTTGAGCTTCAATTCAAATAGTCCAGTTTTAAGATAAAATTTCAAAATGGGAAAAATTGAATGGGGTAAATCTTATTGAATACCTGGCTAACATCATTGACTATTAAATACTTGTATCATCAGAATAGTCAAAGCTTACAACCAACACGGCAACTAAGCAACATTTTTATTTTTATTTTCCATACTATGACGGATCACGTGAACAAAGCTACAACCGTTGGTGAACCTGTCCTATGGTAGGTACTAGTTTCCGTCTGAAACCAAACTGATTCACATCATAGCCTTTTCAGAATAAGTTTATAAAATACCTTGGACATTACTGGTATAAGAGCTATAGGTCCGTATGAACTTGCCTGGTCAATGCATCAAGGGTCTTCCCATATCATCTGTGCTAGTTTGAATTGAGCTGGTACTTGTTCCAGTTCCACATTACATTGAATAACACAATTAAACCAAACACATTACGGTATTGCTTTTTGTGGAAGCTCGTTGTGTATTACCAGTTAAGAGGTTGTAGCCACGAGTCCTGTTAGAATGAACGTTGGTGAAGATCGATTTAACTTCTGATAGTTTGAACTCCTGCAATGTGAAGTCAAGTTGAAATATTCAAGTATCTGTTCCTCGTTTATTACCATACCCAGAAACAACCACAATTCTCTTCTTTTTTTTACTTCCCAATTGAACTTCCTGCCATTAATATTCCACCATTGAAATATGAATACATACATAATTAAATGAATCAGTTTACATCCTAAAAGAGGCCTAAAACGACCTTTTAAAAGCTCAGTTTTTCAAAAATGTCTATGGAGAGGACCCCAAGAACTCCCCTTTCCTAGGGGATATTTCATACCCCTAGACGTCAATATCTACTTCCCCAAATAAATTGTTATGAATTTCAACCCTCCAGTCCCCATATTTTGTTTTCTAGTTTTGCTAGTAGCAGTTACTGAAGTGAGGATGAAACCAAACTCAACTTTTTACTCATTTTATTGATATGAAATTTGTTACTGTCTAATTTATCCGATTTTACATAATCCTGGATTTAGTGAGATAATGTAGGGAATAATAAAAACAAACATACTTCTAAATATTTATTTTAAATTAATAATAGATCACAATGTTTTCTTACATTAGAAAGTCAGGAATCAACAAACATTGTTAGCCCTAAGACTACCTATTCGGAACTTTTAATTACAAATCTACATTAAAACAAACAGAACCGTATCTAAACAACTTAATATTTTTACTTCACAAAACATACATGTTGGGTATTACATATTGGGGTCGATAAAATAAACTTATAACTGATGGGTAAATAGAAATTAGAGAACCCCAAGTAAATCTTAACTATAATAAGGCTTTTTTCAGACCCACGGTGTCGTCATGAGTGGGAGATGCAGCTTACATGCTCAGGTATCCCCGGACCTGGTGCCTCCTGCGGCCAATCAGGTAGGCTACCAGCACAATGACAACAAGTCCTGCCAGGATCAGACCAACAGCAATAGGTACAATGTCTGGGGTCTCATGGCTTTCACAGTCCATCGCTACAACAAACATAGACACAGGTAAGATACATGATGATGTAGGCTACCAGCACAATGACCACAAGTCCTGCCAGGATCAGACCAACAGCAATAGGTACAATGTCTGGGGTCTCATGGCTTTCACAGTCCATCGCTACAACAAACATAGACACAGGTAAGATACATGATGATGTAGGCTACCAGCACAATGAGCACAAGTCCTGCCAGGATCAGACCAACAGCAATAGGTACAATGTCTGGTGTCTCATGGCTTTCACAGTCCATCGCTACAACAAACATAGACACAGGTAAGATACATGATGTAGGCTACCAGCACAATGAGCACAAGTCCTGCCAGGATCAGACCAACAGCAATAGGTACAATGTCTGGGGTCTCATGGCTTTCACAGTCCATCGCTACAACAAACATAGACACAGGTAAGATACATGATGTAGACTACCAGCACAATGACAACAAGTCCTGCCAGGATCAGACCAACAGCAATAGGTACAATGTCTGGTGTCTCATAGCTTTCACAGTCCACCGCTACAACAAACATAGACACAGGTAAGATACATGATGTAGGCTACCAGCACAATGAGCACAAGTCCTGCCAGGATCAGACCAACAGCAATAGGTACAATGTCTGGTGTCTCATGGCTTTCACAGTCCATCGCTACAACAAACATAGACACAGGTAAGATACATGATAATGTAGGCTACCAGCACAATGAGCACAAGTCCTGCCAGGATCAGACCAACAGCAATAGGTACAATGTCTGGTGTCTCATGGCTTTCACAGTCCATCGCTAAAACAAACATAGACACAGGTAAGATACATGATGATGTAGGCTACCAGCACAATGACCACAAGTCCTGCCAGGATCAGACCAACAGCAATAGGTACAATGTCTGGTGTCTCATGGCTTTCACAGTCCATCGCTACAACAAACATAGACACAGGTAAGATACATGATGATGTAGGCTACCAGCACAATGAGCACAAGTCCTGCCAGGATCAGACCAACAGCAATAGGTACAATGTCTGGAGTCTCATGGCCTTCACAGTCCATCGCTACAACAAACATAGACACAGGTAAGATACATGATAATGTAGGCTACCAGCACAATGAGCACAAGTCCTACCAAGATCAAGCCTACAGGAATAGGTACAATGTCTGGTGTCTCATGGCTTTCACAGTCCATCGCTACAACAAACATAGACACAGGTAAGATACATGATGATGTAGGCTACCAGCACAATGAGCACAAGTCCTGCCAGGATCAGACCAACAGCAATAGGTACAATGTCTGGTGTCTCATGGCTTTCACAGTCCATCGCTACAACAAACATAGACACAGGTAAGATACATGATGATGTAGGCTACCAGCACAATGAGCACAAGTCCTGCCAGGATCAGACCAACAGCAATAGGTACAATGTCTGGAGTCTCATGGCCTTCACAGTCCATCGCTACAACAAACATAGACACAGGTAAGATACATGATAATGTAGGCTACCAGCACAATGAGCACAAGTCCTACCAAGATCAAGCCTACAGGAATAGGTACAATGTCTGGTGTCTCATGGCTTTCACAGTCCATCGCTACAACAAACATAGACACAGGTAAGATACATGATGATGTAGGCTACCAGCACAATGAGCACAAGTCCTGCCAGGATCAGACCAACAGCAATAGGTACAATGTCTGGAGTCTCATGGCCTTCACAGTCCATCGCTACAACAAACATAGACACGGGTAAGATACATGATGATGTAGGCTACCAGCACAATGAGCACAAGTCCTACCAAGATCAAGCCAACAGGAATAGGTACAATGTCTGGAGTCTCATGGCCTTCACAGTCCATCGCTACAACAAACATAGACACAGGTAAGATACATGATGATGTAGGCTACCAGCACAATGAGCACAAGTCCTACCAAGATCAAGCCAACAGCAATAGGTACAATGTCTGGGGTCTCATGGCCTTCACAGTCCATCGCTACAACAAACATAGACACAGGTAAGATACATGATGATGTAGGCTACCAGCACAATGAGCACAATTCCTACCAAGATCAAGCCAACAGGAATAGGTACAATGTCTGGAGTCTCATGGCCTTCACAGTCCATCGCTACAACAAACATAGACACAGGTAAGATACATGATGATGTAGGCTACCAGCACAATGAGCACAAGTCCTACCAAGATCAAGCCTACAGGAATAGGTACAATGTCTGGGGTCTCATGGCCTTCACAGTCCATCGCTACAACAAACATAGACACAGGTAAGATACATGATGATGTAGGCTACCAGCACAATGAGCACAAGTCCTACCAAGATCAAGCCAACAGCAATAGGTACAATGTCTGGGGTCTCATGGCCTTCACAGTCCATCGCTACAACAAACATAGACACAGGTAAGATACATGATGATGTAGGCTACCAGCACAATGAGCACAAGTCCTACCAAGATCAAGCCAACAGGAATAGGTACAATGTCTGGAGTCTCATGGCCTTCACAGTCCATCGCTACAACAAACATAGACACAGGTAAGATACATGATGATGTAGGCTACCAGCACAATGAGCACAAGTCCTACCAAGATCAAGCCTACAGGAATAGGTACAATGTCTGGGGTCTCATGGCCTTCACAGTCCATCGCTACAACAAACATAGACACAGGTAAGATACATGATGATGTAGGCTACCAGCACAATGAGCACAAGTCCTACCAAGATCAAGCCAACAGCAATAGGTACAATGTCTGGGGTCTCATGGCCTTCACAGTCCATCGCTACAACAAACATAGACACAGGTAAGATACATGATGATGTAGGCTACCAGCACAATGAGCACAAGTCCTACCAAGATCAAGCCAACAGGAATAGGTACAATGTCTGGGGTCTCATGGCCTTCACAGTCCATCGCTACAACAAACATAGACACAGGTAAGATACATGATGATGTAGGCTACCAGCACAATGAGCACAAGTCCTACCAAGATCAAGCCAACAGCAATAGGTACAATGTCTGGGGTCTCATGGCCTTCACAGTCCATCGCTACAACAAACATAGACACAGGTAAGATACATGATGATGTAGGCTACCAGCACAATGAGCACAAGTCCTACCAAGATCAAGCCAACAGGAATAGGTACAATGTCTGGAGTCTCATGGCCTTCACAGTCCATCGCTACAACAAACATAGACACAGGTAAGATACATGATGATGTAGGCTACCAGCACAATGAGCACAAGTCCTACCAAGATCAAGCCTACAGGAATAGGTACAATGTCTGGAGTCTCATGGCCTTCACAGTCCATCGCTACAACAAACATAGACACAGGTAAGATACATGATGATGTAGGCTACCAGCACAATGAGCACAAGTCCTACCAAGATCAAGCCAACAGGAATAGGTACAATGTCTGGAGTCTCATGGCCTTCACAGTCCATCGCTACAACAAACATAGACACAGGTAAGATACATGATGATGTAGGCTACCAGCACAATGAGCACAAGTCCTACCAAGATCAAGCCTACAGGAATAGGTACAATGTCTGGAGTCTCATGGCCTTCACAGTCCATCGCTACAACAAACATAGACACAGGTAAGATACATGATGATGTAGGCTACCAGCACAATGAGCACAAGTCCTACCAAGATCAAGCCAACAGGAATAGGTACAATGTCTGGAGTCTCATGGCCTTCACAGTCCATCGCTACAACAAACATAGACACAGGTAAGATACATGATGATGTAGGCTACCAGCACAATGAGCACAAGTCCTACCAAGATCAAGCCTACAGGAATAGGTACAATGTCTGGAGTCTCATGGCCTTCACAGTCCATCGCTACAACAAACATAGACACAGGTAAGATACATGATGATGTAGGCTACCAGCACAATGAGCACAAGTCCTACCAAGATCAAGCCTACAGGAATAGGTACAATGTCTGGGGTCTCATGGCCTTCACAGTCCATCGCTACAACAAACATAGACACAGGTAAGATACATGATGATGTAGGCTACCAGCACAATGAGCACAAGTCCTACCAAAATCAAGCCTACAGGAATAGGTACAATGTCTGGAGTCTCATGGCCTTCACAGTCCATCGCTACAACAAACATAGACACAGGTAAGATACATGATGATGTAGGCTACCAGCACAATGAGCACAAGTCCTACCAAAATCAAGCCTACAGGAATAGGTACAATGTCTGGAGTCTCATGGCCTTCACAGTCCATCGCTACAACAAACATAGACACAGGTAAGATACATGATGATGTAGGCTACCAGCACAATGAGCACAAGTCCTACCAAGATCAAGCCTACAGGAATAGGTACAATGTCTGGGGTCTCATGGCCTTCACAGTCCATCGCTACAACAAACATAGACACAGGTAAGATACATGATGATGTAGGCTACCAGCACAATGAGCACAAGTCCTACCAAAATCAAGCCTACAGGAATAGGTACAATGTCTGGAGTCTCATGGCCTTCACAGTCCATCGCTACAACAAACATAGACACAGGTAAGATACATGATGATGTAGGCTACCAGCACAATGAGCACAAGTCCTACCAAAATCAAGCCTACAGGAATAGGTACAATGTCTGGAGTCTCATGGCCTTCACAGTCCATCGCTACAACAAACATAGACACAGGTAAGATACATGATGATGTAGGCTACCAGCACAATGAGCACAAGTCCTACCAAAATCAAGCCTACAGGAATAGGTACAATGTCTGGAGTCTCATGGCCTTCACAGTCCATCGCTACAACAAACATAGACACAGGTAAGATACATGATGATGTAGGCTACCAGCACAATGAGCACAAGTCCTACCAAGATCAAGCCAACAGGAATAGGTACAATGTCTGGAGTCTCATGGCCTTCACAGTCCATCGCTACAACAAACATAGACACAGGTAAGATACATGATGATGTAGGCTACCAGCACAATGAGCACAAGTCCTACCAAGATCAAGCCTACAGGAATAGGTACACCGTTCTAAAATCAAGCAACAATGTCTTTATCACGGCTAAACCACCCAAATCTCTGACCCTTGATGAAAATCAGCAGAGATTTAACAAACACTGAAATATAATCGAGTTTACAGGACAAGTGCACAATCAAAAAGTGACTTTTAAAAAACCCTTTATTACAGAACTAGTCTAATTCAAATTGTTGGACAAGATTAAATTTTTACTGGTCTCTTATTCCTCATAGTCCTGTAGTATAATGTGTACTTAACATGTTCTCATTTTCAATGATTCCGTTTTTCTGCTAAAATATGTATTTAACATTTTCCCATTTTCAATGATTCCGTTTTTCTGCTAAATATTACAGTAAAACCTCACTAACTTCGACAATTTCTGGAACCAGAGGTTGTCGAGTCATCCATAACATGTAAACTTTTAATTAATGGAATACCCAACAGACTAATTTTTACATAAAGGGTGCGCCAAAATAACCTGATGGTTTTTAATACTAAATAACTCAAGAACAAACTACAATTTTATGTATTAAATAACGTTATATTGTACACACTACTATGCCATTTTCATTTATGAAAAATTATATCACTCAGGTCATATCAACTTCTCATAAACACAGGCTTCCCATTTTTTTTGCTTATTTGCAGTCACCTTCACCTGATATCTCTTCCTTGATACACTGCTTGAGTTAAGGAATGGTTTGACATTTCGAAACAAACATTTTGCTTTTTAAGTATCCCCACAGCCAACAGTCACACAAAATTAAGTCTGGGGATCGAGCTGACCACAGCACATCACCAAACCAAGAGATCACTTTGCCGGCAAAGAGTTCACGCTAAACTGACATTGAATAATTGGCTATATGACAAGTTGCGCCGTCCTGATGAAACCACGTGTTAGTCATGTCTATCCCTTATAACATCCGCAGTTGTGGAACCAAAAACCCCCTCAGTATTTCCAAATAGCGTTCCGAGTTTACAGTGACAGGGGGGTGTTCCCACTTTCGTCCTCAAAAACATATGGTCCGATGACTCCAAACAGTGCCACACCACACTGCACCACACTAGACAGTAACTTTCTTTTGACGACGTGATGTTTTACCAAACATAACCTAAAAATGGCATAACATAAGCAATCCTTCACTACAACAATGAGGTCTCTAGCTAGTATAACAGCTGACTTATTACAAAACAGAAACCGTCAGGTTTTTTTGGCGCACCCTTTATAAATTACTTACATTACATGAGTATTTTTACATATTGGATAACCATCTTCAAAGAAATGTAGAATATTCAACAATTAAAACTTGAAAATTTGAACACAATAGCAAGACAAAAGCCAGCTAGATGTACCTAGCTGTCAGCTGTTGATTGTCACTTTACAAGACTTACCGGGTATCGAGTTATTGAGGTTTTACTGTGCTATCTTTTTCAGATTAAAAGAGCACCTAGGGCAATTGAATTTAAACATATTTTAAAATTCATCTTGGATCTGGTACCTGGCAATTTGACTAACAGCCAAGACAGTGACAATGCTACAGGGTATCTCACCCTTTTGTTTGAGCATTACGACACAGATCCAGTAATACTCATTGTAGACAGTTGCGGTTGTTATCAATGAACAAAGCGGACAGCTGAAGGTCATACTTTGATTTGAAAATAATGGTCAACAGTGTTGTAATTAGTAGGCCATTTGATTCCTTAAACTGTGCTACACAAACAAATAATGTGTGGATAAATATGGCATATTTCGTTCAACAAAAGACCACAAGGCATTGTAAGGTATTGTAATCCTTATTTATAAAAATCTGATGCTCTACAACAGGGTTCTCCAGCCAAGTTATATAAGCAACTAAACATTCAGCAAGAAAATTTTGAAAACCACAGCTAAGCTCTTATTAGGCTAATTAAAAAAAACTACCTCGTTGCAGGTAATTTTCTGGGTTATTTGGAGGGAAACTACCTTTCTGCAATGTAATTATAATGGTCCAGCCTTTCCTTAAAAAATTGACAAAGTGGCCCTTGAATAAAAAATCTAGGACGCAATTAGGAAGTAATTAAAACCAGACCCGGTCCAGATTATCAAATTGTTCGGATCAGCCAGGGGTTAAAAATTTGAAAAACTTAAACGATGTATTTTAATGACTAACATGATAGGCCAAATATTTATAGTGGGGAGGCACATTTAGTGAAATATGTAAAATTACAAAGTTTGCTCACTCCAAAAGCTACCAGCGAACTAACACTCTGATAGATTTTATCTTACAGTAATAGAGACGATATTTTAACCAATGTTGGCTCTGTATGGATGTTAATGTTTGATTCTTCGTAGTTTGGAAACCACTCAAGATAAAAACTTGATCTTGATAAATTTATATCAAATTGTACGTTTTTTAACCATCAAAGGATTTTTTAAAAATCATTAATTTATTCATATACAGGATGTCCAACTTAACAATGCCACCGTTGGTATCTCAAAATTAAAAGATTTAGAGAAAAATTTAAACGGGAGACTTAACCTACAATTTTGTGACAACCAAAAATATGAATTCCATATTTTTGCAAATGAATGCCATTTTCTAATATGGCAACCACCTTTGAAATTTCTTATGGAACACCCTGTATTTAATTATGTTTTCAGAATCTTCATTAAACTTCACGTAGCTCTCTATTCTTCCTTATGCGCCAAACTCCTTCTTTATAAACTGGGCCGAATATTTTTCAAAGTACACTATTTTCAAACACCATCAACCATACCTTCATTTCTTTTGGCGAGAACCCATGTTTCACTTCCATACAATAACATTAGCTGTATAATCTTAATTTTGAGCATCTTGATAAAAAATTGGATGATAAATGTTTTGTACAGGCCCCAACGCTCTTATAGGCATTTGCTAGTTTACTTTGTATCTCTAGATCTTCCGAATTCGAACTATTAACAGGAACTCTTAAATATTTAAAGCTCTCCACACAATTTATTGAGTAGTTGGCAATGTTGAAATTTACATATCTCTAAATATATGTTTTAAGTGTTATCAGTTGTTTTTTTTTTGTGTTTTTTTTTACTTTCCGTAAGTGTAATAACACGTACAATGCTGATCAAGAAGTTATTTATAATATGATAGGTTACGTACCTTTTTTATTCCGTCGTCAGTCCTAAAATAGTCAAAGGGTGACTAGTTTCGGGTCAGAAATGACCCATTTTCAAACCCATTTTATCAAATCGATTGGTCCAAAATCCGACAGAAGTCTTCGTTAAGAGGTACAAACACATGTCGACACATAAAGTTCACACATTTACGACACAAAGCACATTTAAATAAAGCAGCCGGCTACATTTTATAAGAGACACACTGACGCAGGTAGCACGGCGGACACGACGGAACTAGCCGTTCAACTAGTCACCCTTTGACTATTTTAGGACTGATGACGGAATAAAAAAGGTACGTAACCTATCATATCATTCTACATCAGTCCTGGTGGCAATAATGTTTAAGTTATTTATATCTCTATTGTTAGCGTTTCGGCTAGTGATGTAAAATTCCCAGGAATTTAAGATCGAGGAAATATTCCTGGATATTTCAGCCGAAGTGAACAATTTTTCTGACAATATTTTCTGTATGGATTCGTAAAATCCTGAATATCTTCCTCAGTCATGGAAACATCATCACTATCTCGATCACCGCAATATTACGAATATCTCCTACGGTCATTTGAACATTATCATAGTTCTCTGTGATCGTGTACAAATTCAGATAATCTCTCGCGCAATTGTAGACATCATTATTGTCTCCCACAGTCATGTAGACATTCACCTGCGATAATGTTAAGAATAAAATGTGCCACCATTAGGGAAAAACAAAAAAGTGGAAACAGGGTATATTTTGCAAATAAAACACTTCTAAAAAAAGAAAAAGAAGGTAATATACAATGCCCTGATTAACACCACTCATAAGATATGTAATGAAAGTTGGATTTTAAAACAGTAGATCTGGAGAAGAAAATAAGATTTGAACAGAAAAAATTAGATTTGTGTGGCTATTTTAGATGACGAGGAAGACTGGCGCACTGACCCAACAGAGAAATACAGGATATCCTGCAAGGAGGAGATATGGTAAAGTTTATAAAGCCACAAAGGCTCAGAAGGTTCAGACATGTTCGGAGAATGGAGAAAACTAGGATGTCCAAAAGAATAATAAATGCAAATAGATTTGCCACCCTAAGAAGAGGAATAGATGGTTGCAACAAGTTTGTCAACCTGAAGATGATGCGAGTCGCTGGATTGGAAGCTGCTGTCAAGAACTGTTTTGTCTGGAGGCTCCAGCGCCTATTGGTAAGGTATCTAAAGTTTTGTTTTAAAACTACACACAGTTAACTTTTTCCTAACAGGTGGTACAGATTAGTGGACTCTTAAGGCACGAACCTACACTCTTTCTCATGCTGTAAAAACATCAAATGTTTTAATCATAAAAAACAGCCTGGATTCATTATTTACATATAAGATTACTTACGTGCTCGGTATTTGCCATTCTGGTCAGTTCCAAACGCCTGCACATGGACCTTGGTTACAGTCAGAGTGCCATTGATGGTGCCGGTAAAGGGAGTTGTTGCACCATTCATATGCACAGAGGGAACGTTGTTGCAAACATACGAGTTGTTCTGAGACACGGAAAACAGCGGCTTTGTGTTTAGAAACAGCACCTCCGTCACATTGGTCACTAGAAAATAACATTGTTAGACTTAAATTATCCATACAACCTTACAGATATGTAATCCTTAGTTATGCTGGAGACAAGATACACATTTTGTCTAGTATATAATGATTACATTTTGATGTCCATTATTTAATCATTGTTTTTTTTTCACAGACTTTTAAAATGTTTTATCCAAATAAAACACTACATTCAGAAGACTTACATTCTTAGTAGCCAGAAAACCAAAGAAATTCCTCGTTTGTTATGATTCAGAAATTATAATTACAAAACCTTAACTCGAAACATTTTACTCGCCTGGGAAAGAGTATAAAATAATACAGATAATAACATGTTTATTCCAAATTCAATCAAAACTGAAATGAATTGATTTGTATTTGTTGATAGCACTGCAATAACAATCATGGAATCAATACTTAATTGGATCAATATTAGTTTAAATTCCAACACATGCCAATCAAATCTTGGAACCAACACTTTTCCAAAGATTCAGTGGTTTGGGGGGTTTGAGATTTTGTTTTGACAAATCACTACTTATTTGCATTCAAAATAAGAACCAACTGAAATTAAATAAGAACTTGTTTACAACAGATTTTAGCTTACAAAGAATGAGTTAATGATATTAATATATTAGGTACATTTACTTAATCCAAAAAGACAAGTTGAAGTTGAATAAAGCCCTGTACACACCGGAGCGATACTGTATCGCTGGGGACGCGCGATACTATTCCTAGATTTTTATCTGCGTTATTTGGGCGATAATATCGCAGCGAAAACAGGTGCTTCCACACCAGAGCGGGAAAGGGACGCGCGGGAAGGCCAGTACACCACAGAGGGTGCGGTGGTTGTGAGACTCTCTAGTTGCAAAAGTGTTGTGTTATAGTTAGTGTTTGTATACTGTACTGTGTGTAAACTTAAAACTATAACATGGTCTGATGAAGAAGAAGCTTTTCTGTTAACTAGCCGTGCTATTATAGAAGATGAGAGAGCAAGGAAAATGTGGGTATACAACATAAATAAAGAACGGCTGCGATTTGGCGAGTACCATATACGCTCATGACCCAGAAAAGATTATAAACAAGATTCTACATATTCTGGAATTAATCAGGAATGTTTTGACGAGTTGCTGAGTTTGATTTCTGGCATTATCGAAAAGGAACGTACCCACTACCGTGAAGCGAGTGCCAAAGAACGGCTAGCAATCACTTTAAGGTTTTTTTCCTAGGACGCTAGGCACGAGCCTGGGATTGTTTTTCACATTACTTCAGGCTAGACCTGGGGGTTGCGGCATGACCAGTTAGATCAAATCCATTGGTGACTTGGCGGGGATCGAACCCGGGACCTCTGGGACTGAAGTCCCGCGCTCTAACCACTACGCCAGCTCTCTCCCCAATCACTTTAAGGTAAGACTGGTATGTAGATATATTTTTCAATGAGTTGACAGATCAATTTAGCATTCCACCCACCTCCATTACCTACCATCTCTCTAGTTTGTCTAGTCTGACTAGCAAAACCTCTACAATATGCTGTGCTATAGCTAATATAATATTGTATGAACTATTAAATAGTAATTTGAATCATCATCAAACCAGTATTAAATACGTTATTCTGTCAGCAATCACCCAACATTGGATTGACAGTGGCACTGGAAAAACTATTGATAATTCAAATCAAATGTTTAAGTGTTAAAATCCTACTAATATTATAAATGAGAAAGTTTGGATGTATGGATGTATGGATGTATGGATGTATGTTTGTGACAAGTGAACTCGAAAAATACTGGTCGGATTGGGCTGAAATTTGGCATGATGATAGCTCACATTCCCGATTAACATATAGGCATATTCTTATTTCAAAAATCCTTTCGGGCTCCGCCCCAGTGGCTCTGGAGTTTCCCATGTTAACCTTATGAGAAATGAAATTATTGAATCTTAACAGCTGTTTCAATTAAACAAGTTGGTTCTGTTCTGTGATGTTCAATAGCATTAAAGTTACAAAAATTACCAACAGGGTGCAGCACTATTATTTCTTTTACATTTATGACAACAGCTAATTTGCAACCAAAAGGTGAGTGAGCGTAGCGAACGAACTTCAACCTGGAAGCGAGTTAGCGTAGCGAACGAGCTAACCTGAAGGCAAGTGAGCGCAGCGAACGAGCTCCAACCTAAAGGTGAGTGAGCGTAGCGAACGAGCTCCAACCTAAAGGTGAGTGAGCGTAGCGAACAAACTTCAACCAGGACGTGATTGAGCCATGCGAACGAGATAATCTTGAAAATTAAGAAGTTAAACGGGGCAAAGCCCGCGGGTTACAGCTAGTAATTAATAAATCCAAAATGTCTGAATGTTTGGGAATTCTATTGTAAATTCTTCAGAAAAACGTAGTTTAATAACAAATAATGAAGACGAACCCTATTTTAAATTTCTAGTTGCTAAAACGTGATATAAATCATAGTGCATCGGGTATGTATAAATAACTTCAAGTAAATGTTCGGTGATACACGACATGTTGTTGTTGTTTTTACACGTACAGAGAAAAGAAAACTGAGTAGTTCATAGTTTGGCCACATAGGTATCGCCGCGATACAGCGCTGCAAACAGTGCATGCAGCGTTACCGCGATACTATCGCTACGGTATCGCATTCGCCTCGGTATCGCGTATCGCGGTTCGCTCTGGTGTGTGCGGCTCCATAAGGCTCCATGGTATCGCACGGACCACTGGTATCGCAAGAGAATTTCTAAGAAAAAGTATCGTGCCCGCTCCAGTATCGCACGGAGTATCGCTCTGGTGTGTGCAGGGCTTAAACATTTTACCAAATTATTTTAAAGTAAAAAAATTAAATAAAATAGACATAACTGTGGACAAACCAACCACATCGAAACAAATAAAAGAAACTGAAACGTCTGATCCGGGTGTAAGTAAACAAAAACTAAAGCACAACTAAATCTGTAGACGTAAGAAACAGATTGGAACAGTTGCAGATCTCTTTAATTCAAAACTTTCTTTTAAGTCCAACCATCGATTAAAAAACAAAATAGGTTCCCAAACAGCCTCGCTCTCTTTACTTTGGTTAATTGAAGTGTTACTGAAATACTGGATTTATGTTTAAGAAACAAACTTACTGGTGTTGTTGGGGAACGTCTTGTTGTTAACTTTGATGACAAACTTAATAGAGTCGATCGAATACATTTTGGTGGTGCTGTTGAGAGCGAATTGGAAGGTTGCGTTGACATCGTCCCAAGACAGGATGAGATCCTCAGCATTGTTTCCAGTGGTACAAGATCCAGTCGCGTTGGCATCCTTTACTTGATTAACAGCAAATGGAGCCTCGACAGTCTGGAATATTGTCAATTAGATTATCAGTCAATGAAACTAATCCGGTACTTGTGAGTTGTTTAGACAATATATCCCAAATATGTATAGTGTAGAAGTTAACACGTGAAACATAAAATATATCACTTATTCATCAGTAATGTTGTGATAAACAAAAAATTAGTTTATTTATCATTCGTTCCCTTTAACTCTATAATTGTAGGGTGATGCAGGTCTAATCAGTGTCTAAACTCAACTACCAACAAAGTTGATAGAAAGTCATTGATAAACTGATCAAAGTCTGAATTGGTATTGTGGAATACAGTATAATTAGGCCTTTTAAAACATAACAGTTTGATCTGGGTACAGCCTAGATCAAAAGACTGATAGACACAACATAAACCCTTGGATGATAAAAGAAGGGTTTTAACTCCCAAAGGCGAGGCAGGAATTAATTTAGGCCTACATAATTTGTTTAATATTACATATTGTACTATCACTAATTATATGGCTATAACAGAATAAAGTTTAGTTATAATGTTTTCTATGACAGGAATAAGGCATCTTTTAGATTGTATGATAAAATACAAACTAATAGCCTATAATTTTTTTTTCTAAAACAAGCCAACATCCGTGGACTTCAGTAGTACTCATATTAACTTATGAATGAGTATTTACATGTCCATGGTAAAGAAATAATTCAAATATAACATTTTATCTATAATATTAATATTCAAATTAAACTGCATTAGTAGGCCTAATTTTTAATATTGGCATCAATGATAGACAGTTACTAAATGAAATTGATAATGAAGTAACTCTTGGTTTTGAGTAAACCAATTCCCAATACATAAACTAGTCTTAACACATATTGTCAAAAAGTACCAAATTCCTTTACTTTCGCTAAACCAACCTCAACAGAAACAAACCAATGATTGTAAAAGGCCAAAGGTATGTCAACTATCACAGTTAACATTCTTGAGACTCTCCAATAGCGACCTACTTACCTTGTTCTCAATTGTCTTGTATGGCACTTTGAGTGAGATAACCATGTTAGCCGTGATGCAGATTGTGTCGTTAACTCCTTTGACTGTCCAGGCTTCAATTTTGGGTGCGGGTGTGGTAGGAGCAGGGGCTGGTGTTGTTGGTGCAGGGGTGGGGGTAGTCGGCTCAGGGGTGGTTTTGGGTGTGGGTGTAGTAGGTTTAGTCGTAGGTGGAGGAGTAGGAGTAGTAGGCTTAGTAGTAGGTTTGGTTGGTTCGGGTGTAGTAGAAGTAGAAGTAGTTGGTGTGGGTTCTGGTGTAGATGGAGTAGTTGGTTTGGGTTCGGGTGTAGGTGGAGCTGTTGTTGGTTCGGGTTTAGATGTGGTTGTAGGTTCCGGAGTCACTGTGGTAGGTATTGGCTGGGGACCTGCCGTTGCCACTCCATTAGCCGCGGGCTGCACTGGTTTGTCTGCAAATCACAACTTTCTGTTAGATATGAAATTATTAAAGAATTTCAGGATTAATGTAGGCCTAGGTGTTTCAACAATTGGAGCTAAACCTCACTGTTTCTGTATCACAACAGTAGATATCTGACAAAATATAACAATTTTGTATTTTTTCTGAATTTAAGATTTCCTATAAAAAAAATAATTTTCATTCCAAAATTGCATCACGTATAGGTGATTTAGACTAGAGTAACGTTGCAAGTTTCAAATTTTAGCCCTGAATAAAATTAAATAAATTTGTTCACCCCTACATCACAAGCTGGCCCAATAACATTTCTTGAAGTTCATCTTATTGAGTTGACGATCTGACAGACTTATGAGTAGGAGTGATCTCCCTAGTTCTCTGTTAAAATTCTAAAACAACCACAGTTGCTGTGAACTTTCCAATACCATCATACTTAGGAGCATTCATTTTCAGCTTCAAAACCACTTATCTTCCAAAACAGGCTATCAGACAAATGTCTGGGACTAAACATCCTGATAACACCAACTAACTGATTATTTAGTTAAAAAGTGCTCACTCTATGCTTGAAATGTAGCCCACTTGGCTGTTTTTTAATGTATGATAATAGCCAAGTTTTCATCTATATAAAAATAGACATTATGATCACAAAATTATTTATTTGAGAGGTATTCATGAACTGAAAGGCGCTGAGGTTGCCTTTAACTTACTACAGCTTGTTAAAACTTTCTTTGAGAAAAACTTTAAAAATAAATTGTAACACTTATACACTGTTGTTATTTACAGCAGTGGTCATTTTTACACAAGACCTAAAACACTTGTAAAATATATCGTTAAAACTGCTATGCTCAACCTATTTTTTAATATCTCTAATATGTTTAAACCTAACTTAAAACAAAAATGTTGCATAATGATGGATCTGATGCCTACATTGTTATGTTGGTCGAGAAAAAATATGTTACTGCCAACACTGAGGCATCAGCGTTTTTTTTTTTCACAGGACTTTCATTTTGATGATGTTTTGCTGGTCGAGTTATTTTTCACACTAAGCATAAATATCCGAATTAAAAAGGTAAACAAATATCTAGTTAAGAAGATAAACATTCTGGCTAACAGCTTAGCTTCAAACCATTAACGGGCCTCAGCAGTACGTATTTATCAGTGCTAGAAAAGGAAGTCTACTGTAGTTAAATATGTTGATAACCAGTGATAAAAAATTCCACGGCTGACTCATATTCCAGTTGGTCTCAACTACCGAGTGAACAAAGTAGGTTAGGTTGCTCAAAGATTCAAAGATTCAAAAGATTCAAAGATTTATTTCAACAAGAAACAAGATTGTACACTTGTACAGTTGACGTCAAGATACTAAGACTAATAAATTAACAAGAGTGAATATATATATATATCTAAAGATCAACAATGCCATCTATATAACTATAAACAAGGTAACAAGGTGTAAACATAACAGAGCAAGACTGTGTATCAGTGTACTGGTTATTGTTAGAACAGGTAATGTTTACTATCTTTGAGACCTAGTATGTAATTAAACAAAAATTGTTTAGTTGAAAAATCCAGTTTAATTTTTCATCTCTTTGGGTTTAACTGTATTTGTATAAGTGAACAAGATAGTTTAAAAACTGTAGTATTATTTTAATTGTAAAAATGTTAGCTTCACAGACCCTCTTTGAGAGGTTAGAATCACCACAAAGTTATTAACAAGTATTTCAGTATATGAATAAAAGCCTTGCTATGACTTCTTTTGACAAATGTAAATACATTCTTCTATGTCTGAGTAACAGTAATGACTGTAAAAAAGAAGACACTGGCTCACATTGGAGCTTACTATTTGTTGACAAGTTACAAAAGAAGGCATACCACTTGGATTCGTTGGGTCCAACAAACAGTGCGTCAGCAAAAATTGTATCCAGCAAACTTAGTATTGAAAGTAAAAACACCATAGATATATCATGTATACAACAACATGCTCATTTATGCATGACACTGCACAAAGAGTGCTACGCCATAGGTTTGCTATACCGTTGCACAATATTTATCTTAAACAACAAATGTTCAACCTTTGAATGTTGGACTTAACTTTACAGGTTATATATAAAGTTATGTTCACTAGACCTATAAAGAATTCTCTATTGTTGTTGGTTACTTCATTAGGGGGGAAAATCCCTTCAATTTTAGACGACAATGGATTGATCATTAATTGAAATATAAATGGGCTGAACAATTTATTTTTGTTTTTCAAAACTAAAAACATAGTTTTCTTGTTATTGTTTCTAATTTGTATGGAAGAAAATTAAAATGAAATGACCTTATTGTCTTAAAGTTTCCTACTTTAATTTCCACAATCAAAATCAGTGACTCTTCAGTATGTTATACAATTTTGGTTTCTATTCACATTTTTTACTTTTGCTGTTAATATTTTATTGTTCATGAATAAATGTGTGTTTAGAAGACTGTGTAACATACACAATAATAACATGCTACACAAATATATTGAATATTTAAGTTACAGGCAAGACTTATTTCAACTGTTAAAGAGAAATGCTTAGTCCAATGCCTTATTTATAAAGCCTACAAATAAAACCAACATATTAATAACAATACTCGGAGGATTTATGAATATTACATGAGTAGCAGATTGAAATATTCTAGTTGTAACAGGATTTCTACACAGCTTGGTCTTTGTTTGTTAATGATAAAGAGCCTCAAATATGTTATAGATAGCTTATCATTTAATATGTACAGTAAGCTTCAGTTCAATCTAGAGTGGACAAAAAAATAAAAACATTTTATTGTTTTAAGTACTGGTATTAATCTATAAAATTTGAATGTCATCAAAATAAATACTATGCAACTGAAACAATACGAAACTACTAATCAAAAAGCATTTTCAACAAGAATGTATGGATAATGTTATAATATGTATAATAATGTATGATAATGGATAATGTTAGGCCTAGACCTACTAGCAAAACAACGGTTTGAGATTAAATATAATAAATGTTTTTTTTTTATTTTTGTGTTACCAGTATATAATGTGTACATTTTATGTCAGCCAGCTTCACTACACTATTGAGAATAAATTTTACAGAAAATCTTAATGAAGAACTGGTACATTTACCTTTTGATGGCCATACAAATAAGAATTGTTAAAGTTTTATTCACTGTACAAAAAAATTTGGAATGTCAACCATTTTATGATGGTAGCCTAGATTAGACTTTTTGGCACCAGTAGGCCTATATTTCTTTATTAATCTAACAGTTTAATTGGTACCAGCTAGATCTGAATTCAATGTTTGAATACACAAATCAAGGGGAAAAGATCTAGCCAATACAACTTGTAAACATTTCTAAATCTGGTTGAGTAAACTATTTGATATTTATTTAATCTTTTTTTTTTTATAAAAGTTAAAAAAAAAAATACTTAAAATAAGAAGAGACAATATTACTCTCTAGCAGAGTACCTTGATGAAGAGTGAAAATAGACCAGTTTTTTGATGACCCTGAACTAAACTCTAAACTCAAGATTTTAAAAGTAATTTCTTTGTTTGACATTATTTTTTATGTTTCCATTAGCACAATAAATCAAACAAAAATTGTCTGAGTTTGATGAAATTTGGTACAAGTGTGTAAACTTGCATTTATTCAAACGAGTTCGCAAACCAGCATGATCTGACTATGGTAACGGGAGTTTATGGGAGGTTTTATGGGGTAAAAATTGGTTTTTCCCATTTTGTAGAGCTTAGCAAATAAATAATTTAGAATATTGAAGCATTATTATGCGCCTAATGGTTAAGGAGAAATTTCCAATAAATTTTAAATTAAAAATGCTCATGTTTATGGAGAGGTAAGTAAACTGTTGTAATTTGCTTGTCTATGAAAATATTTTGAACAATTAAGGAAAATGTATTTATTTCATACTAAACTATTAACATTTCACAAACACAAAAACACTTTTAGCGAATTTCCCATATAGGGAATAAGCTATTACCGTAGTACTCATGGTAAGACCTGGACGCGGGAATGATCCGATTTTGATGAAATTTGGTATAAACGTGTAAACCTACATTTATTCGAACAAGTCGTGAACCAGCATGATCGGACTATGGGAACGGGGGTTTATGGGGGGTTTTATGGGGTAAAAATAGGTTTTTCCTATTTTAGACCCAAAAAACATAAAATTTAGCAATTTATTTCTAAACCATTTTGTAGAGCTTGAAAAAAACAAATAATTTAGTATATTATTATTAAGTGCTATTATGCGCCTAATGGTTACAGAGAAAATTCCAAAAAAAAGTAAATTTTAAATTCCCATGTTATTCTTATGGAGAAGTAAACTGATGTAGTTTGTTTGTTTATGAACATATTTTGATCAAATTCTGAAAATGTTTTTATTTCTTACTAATTATAAACATTTTACAAAAAAAAACTGTTTTACCCTCCCTGATGCAGCAAACCTAGAAGTACTTGTTGAACTAATTCTATTTAAATAGGAAATAAATGTTAAATTTTTAAGTAGACATTTTAGTTTAAATCCAATCAGGCAAATGGAAATTCGCTTAAACTGCAGGTTTGCTGCAGCGGGGGGTATTTTACCCTTCCTGTGGCAGCAAACCTAAGTATACTCATTAAACCAATCAATGCTATTTAAATAGGGAAAAATGTGATATTTTAAGGATACAGTATATTCTAGAGTGTCAGGCAAATTGAAATTTGCTTAGTCTGCAGGTTTGCTGCGGCCGGGTATTAAGTTTTTCTGTCGGATTTATACTTTATGCTACGAACAATATACTAATAGTAGTAAAAAATAGACTTCCTATGTACAAGGTAAATGACTTTTTCATGGGAAATTTCCATCAAAAGTAAACTTTTTGTTTGAATAAAATATGACTTGTCTTGACAAATATAAAGATTAATGGGAAATAATCAATGAATCAAGCTTTAGGTCAGATCTTTGTTTACCAAAAATAATCAAATGACACCAAG